AACGCACCCCCCACAAAACCCCTTTCCTTTTTTTTTTTTTGGGGGGGGGGGGGGGAAGAGACGGAAATCTCTTAACTGTCTGAGCAAACATGCCATATGAATAAAGCACTGAACTGAAAAGATCACGAGTAAGTGTTATGCAAAATGCCCATTTCAATAACCACTTCCCCCACCTTTAACACTTCCCAGACCATGACCACTTTCCCGACTACTTCCCCAGCCACTTCCCCGACCTTGACCACTTCCCTGACTACTCCCCCAGCCACTTCCTCGACCTTGACCACTTCCCCGACTACTTCCCCAGCCAGGACCACTTCCTTGACCTTCACCACTCCCCTGACTACTTCCTTGACTACTTCCCCAGCCACTTCCCCAACCAGGACCCCTTGCCCAACCACTTCCTTGACCGTCACCCCTCCCCTGACTACTTCCTTGACTACTTCCCCAGCCACTTCCCCAACCAGGACCCCTTGCCCAACCACTTCCTTGACCGTCACCCCTCCCCTGACTACTTCCTTGACTACTTCCCCAGCCACTTCCCCAACCAGGACCCCTTGCCCAACCACTTCCTTGACCGTCACCCCTCCCCTGACTACTTCCTTGACTACTTCCCCAGCCACTTCCCCGACCTTGACCACTTCCCCGACTACTTCCCCAGCCAGGACCACTTCCTTGACCTTCACCACTTCCCTGACCACTTCCCCAGCCAGGACCACTTGCCCAACCACTTCCTTGACCTTCACCACTCCCCTGACTACTTCCCCAGCCACTTCCCCAACCAGGACCACTTGCCCAACCACTTCCTTGACCGTCACCACTCCCCTGACTACTTCCCCAGCCACTTCCCCAACCAGGACCACTTGCCCAACCACTTCCTTGACCGTCACCACTTCCCCGACCATGACCATGACCACTTGCCCAACCACTTCCTTGACCGTCACCACTTCCCCGACCATGACCACTTGCCCAACCATGACCACTTCCATGACCTCTACCCTGACCATGTGGTTCACTGCATGCATGGCCACAGGTGGTTGGGCAACATTTCTGTGTGGCATGACACTGGCCATCATGGAAACAGCTTTCAGCACATGCTTGAATCTTCTTCGGCTTGGGACAGTGACCCGGCTTCACTGCATGGACACAGATAGACAGTTTTAGTCCATGCATGACTGTATGCCACTTCAATATACAGCACGAAACACTCAAAGCAGAAATAGCAAGTTTTACCAACAGAGCGAATTATATTCCAAGCATTATTCCTCTATTTTTGTAAAGCCATCCTGGGTTAAAAACTGTCCTAAGGGACGAATTCAAACCATAGATTGTGGAGAAGGGGGGAAAAAAAATAAAAATAAAAAAAACTCCCCACCCACACACATGGACGTAGTGTCCGTGATTTCACTCGTAGTTTCCTGAAGAACATTTGAAGCCTAAAGTAGGCTTTTGGCAGCACGTCACTCCCAGATAAATCGAAAATGGGCAAAAGGTGGGATGTGGGTGAAGCGGAGGTGCCTGGTTGCTGAAACCACACCCGTCTATAGTGACAGCAGTGCAAAGACAAAACGCCATAAATTTGGTTTTGGTCAAAAAGGAGTTATTGATAATTTTGGGACACATAGGACCTCCTTTATCATGTGTACAAGTATCTTGGAGAAAAGCCCCGGAGAAACCAAAGCAGAACACAGTATCATCAGTTACCACTCTTTGACTTGGTTTTAGGTCGCTCAAGTTACGGTGCTCTGCATTGGTTTAGCCGTTTGTCAAGATTATGGTGCAGGTCTGGAGTTAACAGTTACTCTGCCTTGGTTTTACGGTCCATTAAAGTCAGCCACATTTAAAATTACAGTGTGACTGGTGTACGTTCATACATCTGTTGGAACTTCTTCAGACAAATTAGATCACGATCTAACAAACTGCTCCATATAACAAAGAACTGCAAACAAGCAACGACTAGATAACGTGCCAACAATAACTCATCGTAAAAAAAAAATATATATATTTCTCTCTTTTTATATTACAGATGCCAGCGGTCAGTCTGGGGCTGCCCACTTTAGCACATGCGGTGTGGAGTCAAATGCCACAACAGCACATCACAAAATCAGTAACTGTTCGCAATTAAACCCATTTACTACCTTTTCTTGTAACTCAAATCCATTGCAATGAACGTCATCGGAGAGGTTTAGTTCCCAATCATCGAGCATCATTCCTGCTGGCGGTCACAATCCACAAGTTGTTCTTATAGGTTAAGCCATTTTCATTCAGTTCAATGTTTAAAAATAATAAATAAATATATAGGCCAAGTATGTCTTGCATCCTTTAATGTTAACGAACATTGCAAATAAATCAGTATCTAGTCACGTTTAACTTTGTCTGGTTGTTACGGTCAGAAAATTAAATGGATTTGAAACCACATTACAGCCTAGCCGATGATAACTAGATTTTATACAGATGTTCCTATAATGATTCAGCACCCAAATATTGTATATAAATGTTACTGCCTTGGCGTGACATCACTTTTCGCAGACAGTGCAAAGGCAGAGTACCGACAATAAAAGGTAAAAATAAAGTTTGAGAATTTTCATTAAAACATCTAATTGCCAGATTTCCAGCGGCCTACCCATAATTTCTCTGGACAAACAAAAGTCTTCAAAGCCATTTTTCTAAGTTTCACACTCTGGAGCAGAGCGGCAGTCCACCCATCACTCAACTGGCCACGCCCTTAATTATGCAGAACTTTAAGGCTTAATATAATTTACAGTGTTCGGGAAAGTAATTACGTTACTTTTTATGGAAAGTAATGCATTACGTTAGAGTTATTTTAAATCTGGACAGGGCTTGCTGGTTTAAAAAAAAAAAAAAGTCTGTCTAGAGTAATTTTTGCTTAGTATGGTTGAACTGGATCGAAGGTCAGTAGCAAAGACACTGGTTAATAGAATGGGATTAAATACATAAAGGATAGTGTTGTTTAGAGTTTTATTGCAGGTTTGAGTCATATTCCGAATTGGATTTTTTTTGGATTCATTGAGAATGTAACTTGTAATGCATTACCCCCAACACTGATAATTTAAACAAATTTCACCCCCCCCCCTCACAGTTGTCATGAAGGGCAAAAATTAGCTATATAGACCAAAAACACTTTGTACCAGGCTGTAAAGTTGGGCATTTTAAAATGGCAGGTTTACGGGCCGGAC